TATATTTGCAACTGAGGGATTTTCTGAATAAAAAATGAAATCTTCCAGTTACTGATGGGGAATGAAGAAATTATTCATATATTCGAGAATGCATATAAGGATGCACCCTATCAAAAACTTCTTTCAAAATTATATTCATCACTGACCAATCTAAAGGGTCATGATAGAGAAAATGTAAAAACAAGATGGGAAACAGAGAGCAATCTAACCTTATCAAAAGAGGAATGGGATCAAATCTGTATGCAGCAGTTGTCAGTAACAAGCTCCCCCTCATAGAGGGAATTCTGCTGGAAGAATGTAACTTGTTACTTTTGTACCCCAGCGCAGAAATCCAAAGATTCTCAACAGACAACTTTCTGGTGGCTGTGTGGGCACGCAGTAGCAAATCACTTCCATATTTTTTGGGATTGTCCTCATGTGGCACCATTTTGGAAGGAAATAAATAAGGTCCTGGACGCAGTCTTTTTTTTTTTTTTTAAATTTCATTTCACTGTACTGTACTTAGGAAACTTAGAGAGTCTTAACCTCCTAAGACCCGAACTCTTCCATGGCATGCATTTTTTAATTTCTCTTTGATATTTGGGCTGATTGGGACCTCATGAATGTAAAAACAAAGAATCACCAGATTATTTTTTTTACCTGATTTTTGTTTCTAAGAAAAATGAGAGCCACATATGAAGACAGTCATTTTAAATTTTGATAAAACCGAGGCAGTATAATGTCCTCATAAGTGGATATCAGGCCCTTGTGGAGCTAAATTGAGTATTTTGGTCTAGACAACCCAAAATGTGATGTCCACATATGTGGACGCCAGGTCCTAGGAGGTTAAATTGTGTAAATCGGATAAAAATCTGCTCAGAGTGCTGTTGGTGGCTTCTAAAAGCCAATCGTTGTTTTAGTGAAGATACTACTACAAATGAGTGGACTGATTTGATATACATTATATTTGTTATGGAAAGAATAACTTTTAGACTGAAGTCACAGGTGCTCTTATTTAAAGAACATTGGTCGAAATGGTTGAACTACATACAAAATGGAAGGCCTAATTTTGTATAATCTTGTTGTTTGTTTTTGTTTTTCCCAATGTTGTTCTGTTATTAAATTGTAGTGTTATATTCCCTGTATAAAAAAGAAAACCAATAAAACATAAATGAAAAAAACTACCTTATACAACAAACTAACAATGCAGAAAAAATTATTAATTATTCCAAAATATATGTTTAATTCAAAAAGTATGACGCAAATAATAGTAATCCAACCCAAAAAATGCAATTACTCAGTGGTTCCCAAACTTTTTTTGCTAGGCTCAACTTTGTTTTTCAAGAAAAATGTTCACACCCCCCCACAGCACGCGCACACGCACGCACAAACACATCCTCCAACCACACACACCCATGTTTTGCTCGTTTGGGGTTTATTTCACACCACAAACATTTAGTAAACAATTAAGCAAATACAAGTAATCTGCAATAAATTACAATAAATTACAGGTAGTAAGAAAATAAACTACTAACTCTTTTACGCTAGGTCCGCACCTACACGGGTATTTTTGAAAACGCAGCTGTTTCGTCCACACATAAACGGCGTTTCGAATCACCGAAAACGGAGATTTTTTAAAACTCCTTTTTTGCGTTTACGTGTGGACGAGGAATACAGAGTTCGTCACGCAACATCAATGAATGAATGGATGAATTGCAGAATGGCAGATAGAGACAAAATACTGTTAATCTGACTATCTGCAGGTTTTACATGCTTACATATACGCATGCAGTTACTGTCCCTAGCTGCCCAAAGGCAAAGGCGTCACGGTGTGATTATTTTATGTGTAGTTGTTTTTTTCCTGTGTAATAATAGTCAACATTGCTATCAATACATTTTTCAGAAATGCCTCTCTGTGCAAAATGGGTTTAAAAACATAAACAGCTGTTGGATACTGTTTGTCCAGGATTTGAACCGGGGGAACAAATCATGGCAGGATCAGCCTGATATTATTTGTATCCCGCTGTAACTTTACTGTATAAAGAGCTAACATCTCCAAAATGTCAGGAGTAGTTAGTCATTACAAGAAGTGTTTGTGAACTAAAAATCAAGAATGTGGGATACTGTTTGCCCGTGATTTCAACAGCCCAGTGCTGCTCCCAACAAAGGAAAGACCAATTCTGCAGGGGAGACCTACCTTGGCACTTGTGCAGGTGAAACCAAAGGGAAGATATGCTTCAC